TCCTTGTCTTTTAGTAGCTTTTGACAGCTGGTCTGCAAATTCTGGTCCTTATAACACTATAATTATCCCTTTATATTAAAAATCAACCCTTTATTACATCTGTTTTTAACTTAGTATTAGGAATAAGTCTGATTTTTGTTATTTTTATATAATCTTTGTTGGGAATAAGTCTCCTTTCTGTGATATTTGTCTATAAACTATTGTATTTTTCTTGAGGTATATAATTGTTTATTCTTTTGAGTATTCTATTGAGTTATATTCCTGCTTTATACAAGCTATTTATTGAGTATTATTTGAATATTTTATTGTTTTTATTAAGTTATATTTTGCTTTATATGAGCTATTTATTGAGTATTATTTGAGTATTTTGTTAAATTATATTTTTGCATTATTTGAGTTATTCTTTGAGTATTACCTGAGTTAATAAATTTATCTTTTGTTTACAAATTTTGTTGGTTATAACCTTTCTTTGTAAATGTCGCATTAGCAATAAGTCGATAATAATCTATTTTATCTATAAACTATTTTTATCATAAATTATACAAATACATTTCTTAACTACTCATACACTTAGTCAAGTATTGTAGCTAGTTAACCAAAGGTCTAACTTGTTACATTACAGTTTTGGCGACGATAACAGGACCAGAATTTCTTTGTGTTATTGTGATTTCCAATTTCTCTTTTCTTTTAAAAATTCTCTTTATTTTATTGCTTATCATCTATACAGAGCAACTTTTCTTTCCTCTTTTCTTTTTATTTTCTTTTAAAATTTTATTAAATTAGCTTTCTTTTTCTTATAAAATAATATATTTTATATATATTATTTGGAATTCAAGACCACATATAGTCATTGACGGTCTGAATATTAGTACTATTTCCTCTGATTATATCTTAGAATATCTTTAAGTTTTAGTAGCTAATATTCCTTGTAAAGGGCAAACATTTTTGTGTTATACTTGGCCGCACACAAAGAACAATAGGTGCCATCCCAAAAATTGACCTATTGCGAAATCTTATAGTGCCTTAGGAGGCTATTTAATTGAATTCCATTATCCACCTGTTAGTTTTTTTAAAATCTTTAAAAATCTGTCATAAAAGTTAATTCTTTCCAGGTTGACAGTGTCCTGGATTTTTATAATTTTTATATATATACAAATATTATTATTGCAACTACAATCAATTGAGTAATTAACTTTCAAGATATTGTGTTGTAATTTTTAAAGTCCTAAAATTAAACTTCTTTTCTTTTTCAATTTTTTTTTTTTCTCTTTTTTATATATTATCCATTATATCTTAAATTTTTAAATCAAAAATTAATTCACTATGAGTGATCAAGTAGAACATGTGAAAAAGGTTTTTGGAGAATTAAAACGTGCATCAAATGATAAAAATCAAATTCACCCTATAGAAGTACCAATGCTTATTAATACTTCTTGGAATAAATGTTTTTCTAAAACTTATAAATTATATACTAAAGCAAAGCATGGTGAAAGAGTTAAAATGCTTGCTTATTCTTATCATTTAGAAGCATTAATATTGGCTTGTCCTCATAACAAAGAAATAGAAATTAATTCTAAAAACAAAGCCATGTGGATTAGGATTTATCATCTCTTTAAAACAGTTGGATATCATAATATTTACAGAATAAAGAAGTTAAAACCTAAACACATATATAGATTGGATGAAGAACATTTTAAAAAAATTGTTAAAATATTTTTATTAATATATATATTTTTTTTTATTATTATATATTTTATTTTATTATTTTAATAGTATATTTATAAATTTTTTTAATTAGGCCTAGTATAATAAGGAGACTAGGATAGTTTAGAGCGATGGTTGGAGCTCTATACAATTTTCTTATCTATTC